ACTGTATGGAAGTCCGACAACCAAGAAGTTAAAGAAGAAACATTCATTCAGACAGGTAGGAGGGGTGGAGATGGGCAGCTGGGGCAGAGAAGACCCACAGCAAGACAGAGGCTGGTGGACCAGAACGAGCAGGATGATTGCTAGCAGGCCAGGAGGGCCCACATTTGCATGAGGTTAACTGGGAAGAACAACTGAGGAATGAGACAGACCACATAACCCAGGGTTCTAGTGTGAGGAAATAAAACCTCAAAACCTCTGACACTAAAAACCTGTGGGAGTTGAGGCAACAGGAGAAACTCCCAGCCTCGCAGGAGAATTTATTGCAGAGACCCACAGGGTCCTAGAAAATACACAAACCAACCCATCTGGGATTCAGCACCAGAAGGGTCCAATTTGCTTGTGGGTAGCAGAGGAAGTGACTAAAAGCCAGTGGAAAGCCAAGCGAGTGGAATTTTTCCCCTCTCAGATCCCACCCCCCCCACATACAGCATCATGACACAGCAACACGGGTTTCCCTGCCCTGGCAAAGGCCTAAGACTGCCCCTTTCAAGGTAATAGGCACACCGAGACAAAAAATATATAGTCCAAATGGAAGAACTGATCCAAGCTCCAAAAATAGAGCTAAGCGACGAAGAGATAGCCAACCTATCTGATGCAGAGTTCAAAACACTGGTAACCAGGATGATCACAGAAATGGCTGAGTATGGTCACAAAATAAGAAAAAAACTGAAGGCTATGCAAAGTGAAATGAAGAGCAATGCACAAGGAACCAACAGTGAAAGGAAGAAAACTGGTACTCAAATCAATGGTTTGGAGCAGAAGGAAGAAATAAGCATTCGACCAGAACAAAATGGAGAAACAAGAATTCAAAAAAAAATGAGAAGATGCTTAAGAACTTCTGGGACAACTTTAAATGCTCCAACATCCGAATCACCGGGGTGCCAGAAGAGAAGAAGAGCAAGAAATTGAAAACATAATAAGGATTAACTTACCCAATCTGGCAAAAGAAATAATTTCCAGGAAGTCCAGGAAGCTCAGAGAGTCCCAAAGAAGTTAGAACCAAGGAAGCACACAACAAGGCACTTCATAATTATATTACCCAAGATTAAAATTAAAGAGAGAATCCTAGAAGCAGCAAGAGATAAGAGGACAGTCACCTACAAAGGAGTTCCCATCAGACTGTCAGCAGATTTCTCAAAAGAGACCTTACAGGCAAGAAGGGGCTGGAAAGAAGTATCCCAAGTCATGAAATCCAAAGACCTACATCCAAGATTGCTCTATCCAGCAAAACTTTCATTTAGAATGGAAGGACAGATAAAGTGCTTCTCAGATAAGGTCAAGTTAAAGGAGTTTACCGAGCCTTTATTATATGAAATGTTAAAGGGACTTATCTAAGGAAAAGAAGATCAAAACTGTGAACAGTAAAATGACAACAAACTCACAACTACCAACAACTGGACCTAAAAACAAAAACAAACACAGAGACTAACAAGCAAACAACTAGAACAGGTACAGAATCACAGAAATGGAGATCACATGGAGGATTATCAGCAGGGAGGAGGAGGGAGAGAATGGGGGAAAAGGTATAGGGAATAAGAAACATAAATGGTAGGTACAAAACAGACAAGCGGAGGTTAAGAATAGTATAGGAAATGGAGAAGTCGAAGAACTTATATGTACAATAGAACCATGGACATGAGCTGAGGGGGTGGGGAATGTGGGTGGGAGGTGGGTGCCGGGCAGAGGAGGATAAAGGGAAGAAAGAAAATGGGACAGCTGTAATAGCATAATCAATAAAATATATTTAAAAATGAAAAAAGGAGAAAATTTTGCTAAGTATAAGCCTATCACAAAAGGACAAAGGCTGTATTATTCCATTCACATGAAGTATCTAAAGTAGTCAAAATTATAGAAGCAGAAAAAGGTGGCATGGTTGTCAAGATTAGTAGGGAGACAGAAGGGAACTTAGTGTTTAGTGTGTATAAAGTTGCAGTTTTGCAAGAAAAAGTTCTAGAGATCTGTTGCACAACAATGCAAATATATTTAACATTACTGAACTGGATACTTAAAAATGGCTAAGACGGTAGATTCAATGATATGTGTTTTTACCACAAAAATATCAACTGGAAACTAAAACTAAATATGCAGTTTCTAAAATAAGAACATATATACTGGTCACAACAGAAGTTGAACTGAAAAACAGGAAAGTGGTCAGTAGAAAGCATCCAGGCTGAAGCATGGGAAAAAAAGATAGAAAATATAGGGGGGAGTGTAAAACACATGCAGGACATGGTCAGAGAAGTAAGAAAGATACAGAAAGAGAGGAAAGAAGAGCACAGAAGTAGTTTTAAGGAAACAATGGTCAGGCATTTTCCAAATTGATACAATTTTCCAAACTGTAAATATATGGACAGTTTTCCATACCTATATCATATCTGAATAAAATGAAAAAAAGTTAGTCACCATGGGTTAAAAACAAACCCACACGCTACTTGTAAGAGATGTCTAAATACAAAGCTACAGAAAAGTTTAAAGTAAGAGGATACAAAAAGACTGAACTGTTCAAATACTAACCAAAAGAAAATGGGTATAGCCCTGGCTGGTGTAGCTCAGTGGATTGAGCACGGGCCTGCAAACCAGACAATTGGGGTTTGATTCCCAGTCAGGGCACATACCGGGTTGCAGGCCGGTTCCCTGCAGGCCAGTTCCCTGCAGGCCAGTTCCCTGCAGGCCAGTTCCCAGCAGGGGACGCACGAAAGGCAACCATACATTGATGTTTCTCTCCCCTCTCTCCTTCCCTTCCCCTCTAAAGATAAATAAAATCTTAAAAAAAAAAAAAAAGAAAGAAAATGGGTATAACAGTGACATTAGACAATAAGGCAAGAAACATTACTAAAAGAAGTACATTTCATGATTATAAGAGGCTCAATTTACTGGAATATATAATAATTCAAATTCAAAAGGTATATGTACCTAAAGACAACCTCAAGAAACAAGTGACAACTGAAAGGAAGAACAAATAAATGGCTACTTTTCAAAGATATTAATATGGCTACTTTTCAAAGATATTAATATGTCCATTGAATACACAAAAATGCACCAGAGATGGTGTCTATAGGAGAAGGGAAAGGGGAATATGAAAGTGGAGATCAAACAAATAAAAGAAGGAAAGAAATAAAAAATTAAATAAGCAAGAAACCTTGCCATAATCAATAGGTCAGCAGATTTTATCTGCAAAGGGAAAGACTGTAAATATTTTAGGTTTTAAAGACCAAAAGGCAAAATCAAGCAACTATTTTTGCCAAAAGGCTGCCATTTTTACATTTTACAATGTCAGAACTTATTCTTAGCATGCAGCATAGAAAAACAGGCAGTGGGCCCTGTTGGCTCAGTTGGTTGGACGTCATCCCACAAACTGAAAGGTCGCTGGTTTGATTCTTGCTCAGGGCACATGCCTCCTGGGTTTTGGGTTTGGTCCCCAGTTTGGGTGTGTGCTACAGGCAGCTGATCAACGTTTCTCTCCTTCTCTTTCTCCTTCCCTTCTCCTCTCTTTAAAAAATAAACAGAATCTTTAAAAACAGTCAGTGGGCAGCCCTGGCTGGTCTCAGTGGATTGAACGCGGGCCTGCAAACCAGACAATCGCGGTTCGACTCCCAGTCAGGGCACATGCCCGGGTTGCAGGCCAGTTCCCTGCAGGCCACTTCCCAGCAGGGGATGTACAAAAGGCAACCATACATTGATGTTTCTCTCCCTCTCTCCTTCCCTTCCCTTCTAAAGATAAATAAATAAAATCTTAAAAAAAAATTTAAAAAAAAACACAAAAAACGGTCAGTGGGCCACATTTGGCCCATGGGCCATAGCCATGGGCCAAACACTTGTCCTGATTCAGATGACAGTGAGCCATGAAAAAGGTACAAACTGCTCAACTCACTGTGCCAAAGGCCTTAATTTTAAAAATAAGAAAGAAGCTCTGGCCGCTGTGGCTCAGTGGATTGAGCACTGTCCTGCAAACCAAAAGGTCACTAGTTTGATTCCCAGTCAGGGCACATGCTTGGGTTGCAGGCAAGGTTCCCAGCTGGAGGAATGCAAGAGGCAGCTGATGAATGTTCCACTCACACACTGATCTTTCTCTCCCCCTCTCCCTCCTTTCTCCTCTCTCTAAAAATAAATAAGATCTTAAAAAAAAATAGAAATAAGGGAGGCAGAAAGGGAAAGAGGAAACAGCCTGTTCTACCTTCCGATGCTCATGGCCACCTCCACACCCAGAAAGGGGCACAATCTAGGACAGTGGACATATACCAGGGTCTGAGGAGCAAATTTCACAAGCACCTCCTGCTTTACAGGACCAATACACCGTTTCCTCGATGGCAATCTGCCAGGGGATGTCTGAACCCCTCATATGCAACTCCAGGCCTGGGTCAGCACCCAGCCCTGGGAAGATCTTATAAAAATCATTAACAGATACAAAAGTGAGGCCAGAAAAGGGCAAAGATCTGCAGAGACTGGTAGTCCTTGGTCACCACCAAGTACCCTATAATAAGCCCCCCCAAAGACTAGAAGCAGCACACTGAGCACTTTGCCCACTTACTACCTGTCCTTTCTTACCAACAGAACCTGCATTACAGGCTAGCAATGTGCCTTTTCAACTTTCTTGCACATGCAAGTGGCTGATGAAATACAAGCAGAAATTGCAAGGTGGGGCTTCTGGGTGAGCTATTTAAAGAGGCACACTCAGCTAAGGCACATTTTGCCTTGTCCCTTCCTTCTTCCTGCTGCTGGAACGTGGACAGGATGGCTGGAGTTGCAATGAAAGCCACATCCTACACAGCAGACTGAGGACAGTAGCACCACCATTCCATCCCAGACCTCTAACTCTAGGCTACTTCTGTGCAAAAGCAAAGTAAACCTCTACCTTGTTTAAGTCACTGTTGTAAGGATTCTGTGGTCAACAGCAAACCCAATCCCAAGAGCCCATTGGAAAAACAAGCTCAGTCACTTGCCTTCAAAGAGTGGAATGGAGTCACTGGAAAAGGTATCCAAGGCAAGGAGGTCTTTCCCATCTTTAGACCCGCTGCGTTTGTGCTTATGTTTTCTTCGAAAGAAGGATCTGCGCGCAGCTGCTGACAGTGTCTTTGAGGCATTATTGTCATCTTTGACTTCGGACATGCTGAGCCTCCTGGAGAATTCCTGGTCCATCCTGCAGTCACAGGGAATGGCAGTCCTAGGAAGGGACTATCTCCTGCCCAGCCCGCCCACAAGGAGAACGAGACCTGGGAGTCCAGGCTCCTCCAATACTCCTGCAGGTGTCACGGATACGTCACCCACCCATGCCACCAAGGGCCCCGGCACCAGTGCTGTGGGGTGACACAAACACCGGTGCTGGCGGCAAGCTCTCAGAGCGGGCAATTTCTATATTCAGAAGGGTGTCAAAAGCAACTGAGCCTTCACTTGGTGGCATTACAGGTAATGCTTTCTGCCGTAAGAGGAATGAAGCACTGATACACATTGAACGTGGACAGACCTTAGAAAGATTATACCAAGTCAAAGAAGCCAGCCACAAAAGACCACATGCTATATGAGTGCATTCACATTAAAGTCCAGAACAGAGAAACCTGCAGGTACAGAAATATTAGTGGTTGCCTACGGTTAGAGGAGGAGGCAGGGAAGAGAGAAGGACAAAGGGGGTAGCCAAAGGCTATGTGACTTCTTTCTTAGATGAAGACGATGTTCTAAAATTGACTGGTGAGGGTTGCACGTAACTGTGAGTATACAAAATCCCACAAGTTGTACACTTTGAGTAAACTACATGGTATGTGAATTACATGTCAATCAATCTGTTAAAAATAAAAAAGTTATGTCTCCTAAATTGCCCCTGTGCTTCTGTATAGCACTGACTTAGGTACAGAATTGACTTAGGCTAGAAGTAGCTTTTTAGATGAGCAACTGTGGTGAGACAGACAGACCAGAAGCCGAGATAAATAGCAGAATGAGTCCCCCATCCTGTGGGACAGTGCCACAGGTGCCACTCCCCCAACCCCGAGCACCGCACACAAAACACTTACACGTATTTGCTGGGGATCTGCCCACGTTGGATCTTCTGGGCACTCTCGTCCAGCTGCCATGCCATCCAGGACCCAAATGTGCCCTGGGGCAAGGTGTCATCGACATAGAGGATGTCGTCTTTCTTAAAGCTCAGCTCATGCTCCACCTCTGCCAGCCGGTCATACAGGGCCCTGGACGAGGTGACGGAGAAAAGAAGATCAGGAGGCCACGTGCCTTGGTGGCCACACTCCTGGGTCTGCTCTCCTGCTCTGAGCTCTCCTGGACCATGATCAGAACCTGCCATCTCCCCTCATCCGGGTAGTGGTTCCCAAAGAAGGGAGCCCAGACTTTACACAACAGGACAAAGAAGTTGCCTTTCCTCACTGAGATAGGGGCTCTCTGGGGACGAGGGCTCCCTCACACCAATCAGATACAGAACTTACTGCCAAGAAGCAAGACCATATCTACCCTTCCCATTTGCCTTCTTCTCCGAGGCAAAGCTGATGGTTCCTATAGATTGGAAACTCCCTAGGATGGAAACGTGTCACCCCTCACCAGGGAGGGCATCCTAGGGACCCATAGCTCATGGTACACAGTTGATCAGTGTTTTTATTCTCTTCGTGGCCTCAGGTCTTAGGGAATATGAAGGAAGCTAGGAGTACCCCTTGGAAACCACCAGGTACCTGTCCCTACACACATACTTCATGCAGAAAATCAGGGCACCGTGGACACACTGCAGAGGGATCACCAGAGCTGGCTCAAGGGAAAGACTGGTAAAGGAGGGCAGACCACAGGAAAATGGGGGCCTGAGGCCTCAAAATCCCCCAGGACCAAACCCTAAAGAGGCAGCCATGGCCTCACAAGCCCTCATGGGTTTTTCTAAGTCACAAGTATCTTGCCATGACCTTGAAGTTTGGGGCCCTAATAATGATCACGGGCCTCACACTTTGAGGCAAGAATGCAAAGACATTTATTAGGAACAGTCTTCATCAAAAGCCCCTCCCCTGGCCCCAAACCCCTGGAACCCATGGCCACTGGCACCTGATGTAGAAGCTGTCGCCAGGCAGGCCCTTGACCTTGGCAAACTCTTCTGGGCGGTACTGCACCTTCAGGCGGACGCCATCCTTGGGCTTCAGCATCTCCACATAGACCTCCTCTACTGTCTTGCTGCGCATATCCAGACTGCCGTACTGCCCAGGGACAGGGAAGTGGGGTCAGAGGGCAGCAGCCAGGGACAGCTTGGGCACCCGTGAGGGGCAGATTGTGGGATAAGGTGCAGATTCAATATCCCCCTCACTGAGAAACTGCCTGCCTCCCCTTTGCAGGCAGAGCTGAGTCACCTGCTCACTGTCTGCTCTGTGCTCCACAGCAGGATGGAAACAGGCCATCCCTCACCAAGGAGGGGATACTGGAGACAGGGACCCACACCTCACAATACACAGTCCATCAGTACTGTTATTCTTTTTGTGGTCCAGGAGAAGCCCCGCTCTGTCCCCCGGCAAGTAACACTGCACTTCACCTTGCTTATGCTACCTGTATTTCTCAATGCTTACAATCCAGCACCCCCATCCAACAGGAGACCCACTGAGAGGCAGATGACACTCTGTCACATCAGAGTCCTGCCGCTGACAACAGCACAGCACCTTCCCTCCAGATGCCAGTGCCCAAGCTGGGGCACTGCCCACTTCCCTGTGATCTGCCCAGAGGGTCTTGGCAGCATTCGACAGTGACAAGGGTCTCCAGGTGGAGGAGCGCAGCCTCTCACCTGGAGATGAGAGGCTGCGCTCCTCCACCTCCTATGCCACCTGAGAATGCAGGAAGCCTGAAAAGCAGACAGAGGAGCCCAGCCTGCTGCTCAGCAGTTCAGAACTCACCTCGAGGATGAGGTCCCCCGGCACGAGGCCGTCAGGGCCCTTGGCAGGACTGTCGTCCTCCAGCTCGGCCACAAACACCCCATGAAGGTTCCCACCACATAAATGCACTCCAAGCTCCAGCTGGGTCTTTCTGATGAAAACGGTTCGTGGGTCTGGGCTCTTCTTGGCATCTCCCACCATCCTTTCAGGAAAGAAAATGGAGTTCCTTAATCATGCACTGGGTGGGAGGAGGGCACGGAAAAGGCACAACAGTGGCCAAGGCCCTAACTGTTTCTGCTTGCTCCCATGTCTCATGAGGCCTCAGAATCACCAGGAGCTGAAAGGTAGTCCCCTGCATAGGCTCCAGTTCCAGTGATTTAGCTTATAGGCAGGAGGCTGAGGTTTGGCGGAGATGAAAACCTGGGACCCAGGTCACAAAGCCAGTCGGGCACAGAGTGAAATCAAACCCCCTGCTTTCTAGCCCAGCTATTAACCACGTGCCTTGGGCTATGCATCTCTCCCACCTGGACTGTACTTGTTTTCCTAACCTTATTCTGCCTAAGGAAAGTTAGAGCCAGTCCCACTGGCCAGAACACAACTCATTCAGCAGGTGTTTACTGAGCAGCTTCTGAGGCCCAGGGTCTGTGCTAAACCACAAAGAGGGACCCACTGCCATTAAGGAACCCACAGTGCAGTGATGGAGACTAAAACACTGGCAACAGATCGACTGAAGGAAAGGAGACAAGGGTGGAATGTAATGAAAGGGAACTCAGGGGAGATGTCAGCTGGTGATTACAATATGCTGCAGGTCAGTTCCAATGCGATGGACTTTGGTGCAAAGGACTCAGAGCTGGCCTAGTCTGAGTGAGGCCAGGGCTTGGTCAAGGTCCCACCGTGACAGGGAAACAGCTCCGTGCAGGACCACATGCCCTGGCCCCCAGGGCCCTCCCCCCATCTCCTGCTCCAGCTCCCACATGTGCCCTGCTTCCTCCTGCCTCCTCCTGCCCACAGAAAAGCCGACTGCTCCGCTCACTGCTCTCCACCCGCACCCTCTGTATGCCTAACCCCTGCTCATCCTGAACATTTTGAGTTAGCTGTCACCATTCTCTGCCATAATCCTGACTGCCCCATCGCAGCCTGTATGGCCCCTCCTAGCAAGTACAAGGCAAAAAAAAAAAAAAAGGCAAGAAAGGGCAAGAAGGAGGAAGGGAAAAAGCCTGCTGTGTGTCAGCAGCACAGGGCAATACTGCTGTCCAGTTCCCGCACCTCTCAGGGGATGTGCTCCTGCCACGAAAACGACCCGCCTGGCCCACCCGTTCACTGAGGCACACAGGTGGAAGGCTCACAGCATGCATTTGCTGACCTGGAGCTGGGGCCGCTCTGCTTGGGTGAGGGGGTGCCAGGGCCCTCATCCTGCTCCATCAGCGGGTCAATGACAGAGGGATGCTCTGGGGTGGCAGCACCACTGCCCTGGAGAGTGGAGTGGGTGCTGGCAGGGTCCAGGTGGGAGCTGGGGATACAGACAGGACAGGCAGAATAAAGAGCACAGAGCCTCCAGCACCCTGGAGCCATTCACTGTCCCTCAGTGACCAGGACTAGGCTATAAACAGGGACCAGATTACTTGACACTGCACCCTGAGCCCTGAGAAGAACAGATGCCCTGGGGGCTTGAACTCAGGTCATCTACCCTGGAGAATTTGCCTGTCCTCTCCTCATCTCCAGTCCTCAACTCGGGGACCCAGTGCGAAGGTGTAGCCTAGGGGACACACAAATTTGCATCCCTTTTCCTCTGTGCATCTCTTTCCACCCCCCAGCTAAGCTGTGTGATGCTGCATGGCAGGGGCACATTCCCCTTCTCTCATCTACCCTGTAACCCACAGCGTGACGGCAAATAAGGGCAGTGTCTGCCTTTGGACAGGGGCTCTGTGTGTGAATCCTGCCCCAGGGCCTCAGCTCCTGGCTACTATACACCCAGCTGTGGGGCCTCCTGCCGCTCAGGGGGACCCAGCCATCTGTTTCCACACCAAAAGGAGACACATACCCTCCGATATGTCCTTTCTCCAAAACCCAGAGCTAGTCAACTCTCCTCTTACAGCAACAGAATGCCCAGAACTTACAGCTGGTACCCTGGGTCTCCCCGTGGTGAACCATGCCCCTGCCACACCCATCTCACCACCCCCAGCCCAGACAGCCCTTCAGAGGCCCAGGCCCTCACCTGGACCGGGAGTGGCTGCTGAGCTGGTGCATGTGGGGGTTGTACTGGGCCAGGATGGTGATGGTGTCACACTGCTGCCCAATGATGAGCCGGGCCTGCTGCTCCGTGGCACTCCGCAGGTTTATGCCATTGAACTAGAAAACACCCAGAGCGAGGTCAGTAATAGGGCAGGGCTGGGAACATGGGGAACACGGCTCTTCCATGGAAAGGAGGCAAGGAGGAAGGGAAGAAAGTAGTGCAGAGGGGCAGCTCCCACTTACCTCAAGTAACTGATCCCCGTACTCAAGGCCAGCCTGGTGTGCGATGCTGCCCCCCGTCACCTTGGAGACATAAACACCGCCCTTCTCTCCACTCACGATGGAGATGCCCAGCGGCTCTGAGCCCTTCTGCAGCTTGACATGGCGTGGCTCCTCCACGTAGGGCCTTGGAAAAGAGACAACAGTTTGGGGGACTCAGACCCAAGGGAAAGGTCTGGGCAAGGTTAGAGGCAAGGCATGCAATCAGCTATGCAGAAAGGGCCAGGGAGCACCAGATGTTCCTATGATGACACAGCTGGATGGGAACACGATGACCCCACCTTTGTATGACAGTGATACAAAGTGATTCCCAAAACCTCATGCTACACAAACACAACCCACATGGACATGAAGCACCCAGCCCCAAGGACACAAAGAATGGTCCAACTGAACTAGAAGGACTAACACATACAGGGGGAAAGCACAAAGATTTTCATAACATGAGAACAGTTCTTTCACGATGTGCAATTTGCAAACCCCCAGTGGGATGTAAAGATGGCCTCAGGTGAAAAGAAATGGCTCCTGGGATGATAGCCACCCAAGAAAAGACAATATAAAGTATCAGTGTTATATTTGCCTATATACTGGGTGATGTAAAATGATCATGGAAATTAAGCTAATGCAAACCCAAGCCATTAAAAGGGGAGCAGGGAGGCTCAGAGTAAGGCAGTGACCATGCACTTGCTGGCCTGGGAAAAGCTGACCACGTGCCAGGGGCACAAGGGGGCTCCAGTGGGGGCCTCAAGTCAGGCCAACCTCAGACTCCTCAGGGAGGAGGCCCGGGGCCTGGCAGCCGTGGGCAGTCTCAGGAGGGATCTGTGGTGGTGAAGACATCTGGAAGGTGCGAAAGGTTAGAAACAGAGGGCTGCTCGGAGAAGGAGGACAACCACAGACTCCTAGAACGTGACAGAAAGACAGAAAGACAGCCAACTGCACTTGGTGCTGCCCTGAGCTCCTCCTTTCAACCACAGACTCCTGGAACGTCACAAAAAGACAGAAAGACAGCCAACTGCACTTGGTGCTGCCCTGAGCTCCTCCTTTCAGGACAAAATCATGGCCAAAGGTAGAACCGGTAGGAGGGCCATCTCCTTGGGCTGCCCTCCAGAGCACATGGGTAGGGTGGATCCGCACGGGAAAGGGTAGCAGGGCAGAAGGTGGGCAGGGCCCTGAACCATCCACCCCTGACGCCCAGAGGCACAGCAATTTCTCAAGCTCTGTGAGCCTCACGCTGTGTCCCTGCTGCTCAGTGCCCAGTCCTCTTAGAGGCTGAGGTCAAAATCCTCCTTGACTTGTCACTTCTCCTCTCCCACACGCCAAAGGCTTCTCCCCTTCCCAAACTCACCTGCTGTGCAATGCCTTCCTTGACCCTTCAGCTCAGACACATCACCAGTCCCCGGCCTGCACCCTCCATTACTTTAAAACTCAACACATATTAGAGTGCCAGGCAGTTTAAACGTTCTAAGAACCCTTAGTGTGCAACCACCCCAACACCAGCCTCATGCCCCAGCCAAGGACAATGGTACCAAGGCCCAGAGTCGTGAGCAGGTTGCCTGCCCAGGCCAGCCTGCCAATGCAGCAGAGCTGGTTTCTGGTCTGTGGGTCCTCATTCCTCACTGAACATCCTTTCCTCTGTTCCTCCTCCAAACAACACACCTATCTCAAAAAATAACAGGTAACTGAATCATAATAGCCATACAACACACACCATGAAGCGGATATGAATGATACCAAGATTTACTGACACAAAATGATATCCAGGACATGCTGTGGCTGAGAAGACCTGGCAGGCTGCTGGAGCAACACATCAGTGAATGTTAGGTGAGCCAAACAAGGGTGGCCTCACCCTAGGATCAACTCATTGGAAACTCTCCAACTCGCACTGCTTCTACCGGCAAACACCTCCCCTTGACTGAGCCCTGGCCCACCTGCGGGGATGCTCCGTCCATCACTATGTCTGGCACAGATGCCCAGGTCATGCTCACCTGTCCTTTCTTCGCTCCCCGAGGGCCACGGGGTTGACTGCAATTCTAGGCAATGTGGAGGCTGAGGTCTGGGACTGGCTACAAGAGGACAGGGTGTCGATGTTGAGGGGTGACTGCGGAGGTGTGCTGCATTCAGAATGCGACAATGAACCTGCCAAAAAAGGTGTGGGGTAACTCGGGCCTCGATCTTGCATTTCATTCTCCAGCAGCGAAGATCCAGAGAGGGACATGATCCAGACATGTGGCCCCAGGCCACGGCCACATCACATGTCCTTGAATTCAGATGCTTGGCTCCATATGGCCTTTCTATCCCCCACACCACTAGTGTTTACAGACTGGCTGCAATGACGAGGCAGCTATAAGCAATGCCCAGACACTCCACTGTGAGGACAGGGTGAAACAGTAGGCAGGGGAGGGAGCGCTGAGTTCTCACCTCTGTCAGAGCCCACAACAGACCGGGGATATCTCGGTGTCGATGGAATTTTAATGCGTTCTGCCTTGAACTGCAGGTTGCTTGAAGACCCTGTGGTTCCATAAGGGGTGAAAACTTTAGATCTGTGAGTAAACACCAGCCCTCACCCCTCCTAGTGGTCAGGAAATACACTCCATCATGACAAAATGCAAAGCAGGGCCCTGCTATTAACCTCCAAGAGGATGTAAATGTGGAACAGGCAAGAAAAGCAGACACTTAATGCCCAGTATCTGAGTAAATTGTGCAGGAACTGCCTGCTCCAGAACAGAATCACATCAATCTCATTTTCTGCCTTGGAATAGGGACAGTGATCCAAGTGAAAGAGGTGCCTGCTCACCTCTCACAAGGCTGAAGCACCTCCACCATAGTCTCATTGTGGGGTAAGTGCCAGACTCCGCTCTGGGCTGCATTTCCCATAAGTGAATAGCAATACAGAATCCCCCGGAACGCCCAATAAGCTCAGTGACAGGGAGCAGGGCTCCTGGGTCCAAGGGTCACCAGAACAACACACCGCCGCCAAGGAAAGCATGGAGAAACAGCAGAAGGCCAAAGGAAACGTGCATTGCGAAGCTGATCTCAGCTCCGGAAGGGGAGGAGCCACGTGGGCAGGCCACCAGGAGGCCAGCCAAGATGATGCAGGTAGAGATGAAAAAGGCCAGTGACCTACGATGGTGAGAAGATTCTAGCAGTGCAGTTACCAAGGCGGGCGCTGGAGGGCAGTGAGTTGGACCCGTGGGAGGCTCTCATCTCCGAGTAGTCACTGCAGGCCCTGTGGCTCAGGTCCAGGCTCAGGCGTCCCTGGTGCTGAACACTGCGAGAGAACCAGACAGGTAAGGGGCCAGGACCAGACATAGCTCCTGGGGAGAAACAAGCGATAGGCTTGGGCAAGGCCTCCCTCCCTGGGCTGGCAGAAGGGAGGCCCAGAAGCCAATGGCTGTCAGCTGAGGACAGCCCCCTGCCCTCAGCCATGGCCAGAGGAGGCATCCACGAGGCACCCTACACATGGTAGGAAAGGCCACACATATGAAGTGGGATCAGCATAGCCATTTCAGCCTCAGCTGGGGTTGGGCTCGCTGTAGGAAGGGCTTCTATAGGGAAAACAGAGGCTCTGGATCCTGGGTGGGCTCTTAAAGGGGAAGCCTCTCCTCTGGGGTGAGCAGGGAGAGGCTAGACAGGCAGAGGGCCTTGGAGAGCTTCAACCAGAGCCAACCGAGGAAACCAGAGGGCAGAGAGCCCAGGTGACACCCACACCAGTGGTCTTGCAGTCAGGCCCATTGATATCCTTTTCTAATTGCATAATGAGACTACAGCTTTTCCTGCCTAAAACCCTGGAGGTCTCCACTGTGCTCAGAATAAAACCCAGACTCCGTATTGTGGCTGCAGCCTCTGCAGGATTTGTGCCCTATGACCTAGACTCGCCTCCTAACTTACCACGCCTTTTGTCAAGCTCCCCACTCTGTCCCAAGAGCCCTCCACACCGTTGTCAAGTGCCTGGGCCACAGCGCCAACAGCCCTCCTTCCTGGGGACTCTGCCCCAGGTCTTGTGCAGCTGGTCTCTTCTCAGCCTTGTGGTCACAGCAGCCTCCCCCTGACCAGGGAGCCCTCCCCACCCTCTTCCAAGTCAGCCTAGCTTGTCACCTTGTTTTATGGATTTCAGAGCTACTCAGCGCCATCTGGTATCCCTCTGTCTACCTTTTCCTATCTGCCTCCCACACTTGAACACAAATGCCACATGAGAAGAGACTCGTCTGTTTAGTTCTCCACTGCATCCCCTTGGAACTAAACCAATACATGCCACTTAATAGGTGCTAAATAAACACTTGTCAAATGCCTGAATGAACAAATGAATGAAAGTGAGCTTGAGCCAGTCCACTCACTTTTTAAGGACCAGTTTCCTCACCTATATAAAACAGAGACAATAATAGTCCTTAGAGCCTAGGGTTGTTGTAGCAACTAAATGGGTTATTTATAAAGGTCTCAGCACAGTGCCTGACACATGAGCAACAAAGCATTGGCTACCATCACTATCATCTTTCCTTAAATACATTTTCAAGCTCCATGTTGGTGAACCCAGAGCATCCTTAAAGCCTACGTTGTCTGAGGTCCTTCAGCTGATCAAACTAGTCCCTTCCCAACTAGGCAAGGAAGCTTCTCTGTCCACAAGCCTCTTTATGCACAAGGGGCTTTATGTCCAGGTAGGCTTAGATGGCTGTGGTGCAGGAGGTGTGTGGGGTGACTTTACATACCTTGGATGTAAAACCTGGGGGCCGATCTCTCTGGGGACGGGTGGAGAGCTGCAAGGGCCAACCCTGTGGCTACGCACGGTGTAGACGGGGTTCCTCAGGATGGAGCTCACAGTGGTGCTCGGAGTCATGCTCCGGGGAACAGTGCCTAGAAATGCACTGAGTGAGAACACTTGTCCCAAAGCACCCAGCCAGCCCCAGACTTACGCAAGCCTCTGGCCTCTCTCCATCTATAAAACAGAGAACTCTCTTTGATGCTTCCTATTTCCCAGGCTGCTATGGGGAGAAAGCACTCTGAAAAGCTTAGAAATGTCACTAGCACAAGACTTAACATCACCCCAGACAGGGCAGCAATTACTAGCTCTTTGGACCTCTGGCTGCTCCTTGAAATGACTGCCTCCACTGGGTGGCCCTGTGGGCCCACAAAGACCCTCCTCCTCCCGGCCCTCCCAGCTGACTTACCCACAGACGCTTTGCTGGGGTAGAGTGGGGGGTTGCTGTGTCGGTTAGAGTGCCCTGGCGAGTAAGGGGACCAGTCCTGAAGCTCTGGGGAGAGTTCTCCACTGGCTGAGATGCACTTCTGCTCCTGCAAAACCAAAGGCAACAGGGACTGGCTGGAAACAGGGGAACACATATGTGTTTGCAAGCAACTCTGCCATTCTGTCCCTCGTGTACCAGCTCCTCCCATTTGGACACAAAGTGACAGTCAGGAGATTTCACTGCTCATTCAAGTTGCCTTACACATCTAGAAGAACTTCCCTCAAAAATACTCAAAAAAACTACAAAGAACCTGTTCTTTCCAATTAAGAGAAGTTGTGTATGTGTGTAGAAGGTGGACTGTGTATGCATCAGGGCTGTGTGAAGTTCTTTGTCTGCAGAGTGGCATGGATTTGTTCTCCACTCACAGCACCCTCCCTTCTAGAAATGACTACAGTACCCACAACAACAAGCCAGGCTGTTAACCAGGCTAACAGACTCACGAGTGCTATCTTCTCTCCCTAAACCCTTCGGGGTAGGCCTATGTCACCTGGTTCTGTTGCACAATTTCAAAAGCTTCTTGTTGAATAAGCAAATTAAATGCTACATCCAAGAATGTGCTTCTCTCTTGGTCCCATGTCCGGGGTAATGTGCACATCCCATGTGACTCTCCAGTCTCCTTGAAGAGGAGACTGCTTCCCACCAGCAGGCACCAGCCACCCCTTCCCCTCCCTCAGGTAGAGGCTCAGGACAAAGGGGCCAGGGCCAAGCGCAAGCCTGGTGACACAGGTGCAAGCCACTTGGGGCAGTCTCACAGCCAGCTACCATTTCCCACCCCAACCCCCAGCCCAGTGTTGGTTCTACCTCCAGGAACTGAGCAGGAATCACCACTGGTGCAAGCTTTGGCCGGCAGCTGGGAGCAGACTTTGGCCGGCGACGCTTGTGTCCCAGCTCATCCGTCTTCTGGGAGGTGAGGTCCTCATCACAGGACTTCTTGGCAGGCAGGTAGGAGGAGTCCCCATCTGCCTCAGGGTAGTAGCTGGAAGCAATGCGGACCCTGGCCTTGCGAGGGGGCGAGGAGTGCATGGGTTCCCCAGGGTCCACATCGGGGGGCAGGGCACTCGGGGGGCTGGTGGATGGGGAGCTGCCCACCAGGGTGGCTTCAGACTCAGAGCTGGTTTCAAGCCTGTGCTGGAACTTAATGGAGTCACTCCTCCTAGGAGGTTTTGGGGGCGTCAGAGGCCCCACCCTCTTGGACGGCTGGGGGGAATGAGCAGGCCCGGGGCCAGGGAGCAGGTAGTCTATTTTGGGGGGTGTCTGGGGGCGTTTGAAAGTGTTAGGGTCAAAGATAGACTTTCTTTGCTTTGGCTTCTTGTAAACAGAGAGCTTCTCAGGCCCAGCCGTGGAGCTGAGCACGGCCTTGGGCCAGGTCCCGCCGCTGTTGGAGCTCTCAGGCTCGGCCTTATCCGGGGGAGCCTCAGTTGACCCACAGGAACCAGCCTCAGTCTCGAAGGGCAGCAGGGGCCGCCGGCTACGCATGTCCACCAGCCCATAGCCACGCTCCCCAGAGGCATCTGAGCGAAAGGAGCTCAGGCTACGCTCAGAGGCACTGGGACACTTCTCGGGGGAGACTGGGAAGGGTCCCCCGGGGAACGGCTTGTGCAGGAAGGAGCTGCTACCTCCTGGGGGCTCCTTCCTGTCCTCCAGCCTGTCTGTGTAGAAGATGTCCGTCTGCGTGGAGTTATTGTGCTGCATCAAGTTCCGTTTATTCTGAGCCTGAACCTCTGGGCCATGGGCTCGAAAACTCAACATCTTATCAGAGTCCTTGATGTTTTCGAAGATGTTCTGGCCACTCCATGAGGAGCTCTGAGGGAACACCTAAGTAGGAATTGCAGAGGAGCGTGAAAGAGAAGAAAAGACCACAGAACCTGGCACTGCCCCTGAAAATGCCCCTGCAGGTAGAGCAAAGGCCACACCCCCAAAAAGGCAGGCATACATGTATGAACACGCGGGCAGACATGCACACACACCTCCCCCTGGCGGGGGAGACTTTCTTACGGCCCTGGTCACTGTGAACCCACAGGACCGCCATGAAATGCTCTTGACTCTGAGCACTTTCTGATAGCACCTGTGTAATGTCCTGCATACTCTTTTAAATTATTAAATAAAAACAGACTCATTATGAAACATGCATATCATGTAGTACATTCACACAATGGAATATTATTCAGCAGTAAAAAGAAATGAGCTCTCAAGCCATGGAAAGACATGGAGGAAACTTACATGCATATTATTAAGTGACCGAAGGCAATCTGAAAAGGCTACATATTGTATTATTCCGACTATAACGCATTCTAGAAAAGACAAAACTATGGAACCAGTAAAAAGGTCAATGGTCTCCAGGGATGGGGGCGAGAGGAATGAATAGGCAAAGCACAGAGGATTTTTATTACAGGGAAACCATGCTGAGTGATGCTGTGACGGCAGACACGTGTTGCTTGCACACATGTCCAAACCCACAAAGTGTACACCACAAAGAGTAAACCCTCATGTAGATTACGGACTTCAGTTACACTAACATATGAACATTGAGACAAATGAACCCCACTAATCCAAGACACATTAATAATAGGGGAAGCAGGGGGGGTATATGAAAATTCTCTGTATTAGTTAACTTTTCTGTAAATCTAAAACTGCTTCTAAAAAAGTATATTAATTTTTAAATAATAATTTTTTTAAAACTTCACTTAGTGAAGTGGATGGGCTTATTTTCCCCAACCCTCTATTGTTAATCTTTTCAATTCTGTAGGGAAGTTGATAGAAGAGCACAACAGACAGACATAACCCACCATTCAGAATCAACAACATTGTAGAAAACTGTCAGCATCGCAGAACATCTGAAGTTAAGTTACAAATATGACATTTCAGCCCTAACAATTTTATCACATACTTACCCAAAATAAGGCCATTTTCCTCAGTAACCCCAATACCGTCATTATAGTCAGAAAATTTAAGTTCCCTAAGATCAACTAACTATTCAATCCAGATTCAAAAGCACGCCACTCTCTCCAAAACGTCCTTCAAAGCTGGCAGAGGCAGGGGGGTTGTTTTTTTGGTTTTGTTTTTAAACAAGATCCTGGTCAGGGTTCATGCACACCCTGCACTTTATAAATCAATACCCCCTTTTCAAGGATCCCAGGGACACAGAGAAGACCAGGCAGGTGGAGCTGAGGCTTTGCTCAGTGCACACACAGCAAGAGCAGGGATAGGATGGGCGGGGCCCTTACCTTCAGGAGGGAGAGGGTCAGGGAGTCCTGGCAGCTGCGCAGCAGAGATTCACACTCGGTCAGAGATTTGTTGTCCAGTGCAATGCCATTGATCTAGGGCCAGAAAGAGAGCCTGTCAGGCTGCTGCCAGGACAGGGCTCTGCACCCTGCCAGCCCATGTGGGACAGCGGGCCTAGCTCCGTAAGGTGTCCAAGCTGAAGCTGGCAAAGGAAAGAAAGCCCCTCCCCAGTAAGGCCTTTCTGGAGGCCTGAAGCTAATGAAACACACAGCCTTAAAATGACTCTACAGGAAGGTGCCTATCCGACTGGGCCCAGGACACCAAGGGTCCTGAAAGAAGAGCCGGCTCTGGGGCTTCCCCGCTGTGTGATGTGGGACCTCGATTCCAAACTCCCTCCTGCACGTGCACCCCCCCGGGGGTGGGAGGAGATGGAAAAACAACATCATGGGGTGAAAGGCCTTTGTAGACTAGAAAATGCCACATGAGATGAAGTGCTGTCGCTGTTCACTAAGACACACCACACCACTCATGGTTAAATTTCTGGCCACGTCCCTCTCAGATGTGTTCCAGTCTTTGGAAAAGCGCGTGTACAACAGGCGAAGGGTTGGCCCAGGCTGCGTCCAAACCCCAGAGCTCTGCACCCCGCAATGAGAAGGAACACACTACCCACACACCCAACCAGTGTCCTTCTCACAGCGCCATGCTGAGCAGAAAAGCCAACTGGGAGGTCATACACTGCATGGCTATACTGTTCACAAGACGATGAAGTTACAGAAATGGAGAACCAATCAGCTGCCAGGGTTTCTAAAGGGGGAGCAGGGTGTGGGTATTAGTATAAAGGGTGGTAACAGAGGGAGATCCTGGTAGTAGGACAGTTCTCTATCTTTTTGGTCATTGTTTACCTAAACATGATCAAATGACACAGAACTAAATACACACACAGTACCAATGTCAACTGTCTGGTTTTAACTTTTTTTTTTTTTTAACTGTTAAAACAAATATTGCATTTATTTCTTTTTTTTTCTTTTAAATTAATTTATTTTTTTAAATTGATTATGCTGTTACAGTTGTTCTATTCCCCCCTTCATTCCCCTCCACCCTGCCCCCCCCAACCCCACCGTTACCCCCTTTAGTTTATGTCCATGTGTCTCAAGTCCTTTAGGTTCTATATTTCCCATGCTATTCTTGCCCCCCCATCTATTTTCTATCTACTGTCTATGCTACTTATTTTCTGTACCTTCTCTCCCCATCTCCTCCTCCCACTCCCCTGTTGCTAACCCTCCTTGAGATCTTCATTTCTATATTTCCACTCCTGATCTAGCTGTTCTTTTAGTTTGCTTTCGTTTTAGGTGTGGTTGTTAATAACTGTGAGCTTGTTGTTCTTTCACTGTTCATGTTTCTTTAACTTCTTTTTCTTAGATAAGTCCTTTTAACATTTCATATAATAAGGGCTTGGTGATGATGAACTCCTTGAATTTGGTCTTATCTGAGAAGCACCTTATCTGTCCTTCCATTCTAAATGAAAGTTTTGCTGGATAGAGCAATCTTGGTTGTAGGTCTTTAGATTTCATGATTTGGAATATTTCTTTCCAGCCCCTTCTTGCCTGTAAGGTCTCTTTTGAGAAATCTGCTGACAGTCTGATGGGGACTCCTTTGTAGGTGATTGTCCCCTTAGCTCTTGCTGCTTCTAGGATTCTCTCCTTCATTTTAATTTTGGCTAATGTAATTATGATATGCCTTGGTGTGTTTCTTCTTGAGTCCAACTTTTTTGGTACTCTCTGGGCTTCTTGGATTTCTTGGAAGTCTATTTCCTTTGCCAGATTGGGGAAATTTTATTATTTGTTCAAATAGTTTTTCCACTGGTGGTTGTGTCTTTCCCCCTTCTGGTACCCCTATAATTAGGATATTGGAGCGTTTAAAGATGTCCTGGAGGTTCCTAAGACTCTCCTCATTTCTTTGAATTCTTGCTCCTTGACTCTTTTCTGTTTGGCCATTATTTGGTTTCTTCTGGTCCACTCCATTGATTTGAGTCCCAGTTTCCTTTTCATCTCTATGGGTTTCCTGTGGAATTCCATTCATTTCCCTTAATTTAGCCTTCATATGTTTCTCTAATTTGTGGCTATAATCAACCAGATCTGTGAGGAAGCTGATGACCAGTGTTTTAAACTGTGCGTCTGAGAGTTTTGCTATTTCTTCGTCGCTTAGATTTATCTCTGGGACTTTGAGGTCTCCCTGCGACATTTTTGGTCTGTTCTGGCCCTTTAAATGTGAGAAACTACGCCTTGGATTCCCAGGTCGCTGGGTTGTGACGCTGTATGTGGGGGCGTGGTCAGAGCGGGGAAATGGCGGCGCCCTCTATTGCCGCTGCGGCAGGTCCAACAGCCCACTCCCTCAATCGCGTGCAACTAGGCAACCGCAGTCAACTTGCTGCACCGCCTCCCCACTGCCTCCTCTGCAGTCGCTCACCCGGTGGGTTGCTCGGTCGCTCACTAGGTCCAATCCTGGGTTTGGAACCCGTGCGTCTGGATTCGCGCGTCTGGATTCGCGCGTCTGGATTCCGCGCCCGGGTCCAACTGAGCCCTCCCTTGCAGCTCCTCACCTGACGCCGGTTTCACCCCTTACCAGTTGGGCTGAAGAATTTGTTGTTAGTGGACTTCTGAAAAGTTCAGTTTTCCGTGTTCTGGTTGTGTTTTCTGATGCTAATATTTAGTTGTCCCTAAACTTGGTTGTGTGAGGAGGCATGGCACATCCACCTAAACCTCCATCTTGGCGGAAGTCCCTGGTTTTAACTTTATAATATTAGTTAAGTTATATAAGATGTAATCATTAGGGAAAACTGGGTGAAGGGTATATAGGACCTCCCTATATTATCTTTGCAACTTTATTTTTCATACTATTTATTTAATATAACTGAATTATAATTATTTGTATAACTATTTCAACATCAAAAGCTTAAAAATATATATGCAGGAGGATTATTTTAGAGTGATAGGTTAATTTGGTTGTTTTTTCTTTATAACTTTTCCACATCTTGAAATTTTTCACAATGGCCATGTTACTTTTAAAGTCTGGCATCCCAGGAATTGGAAAACACTGGCAAAGATGTGAAGCAATGAGCTCCCCCACACACTGCAGGTAGGATTAAAAAGGCCATGACCTTTTGGAGGCACAGGGGAAGGTCATATCAAATGTTAAATGCTCATCTGATCCAGCAATTCCCCCAGCCCAGGAATAACGGCCCTAGTGGCATGCTTTCCTGGGTCCCGTGCAGTGACGCAGCAGTGGCTCCACAGCTCCACTTGCACAGGCAAAGATGTGCTGAATGACCACTGGGAGTGGGGGGGGGGCAGTGCTTAATAGCTGGTGCTGCTGCCACTCAGGACCATGCAGCTACTGAAATGACCCAGACACACCTAGGAAGAGCCGCAGGTCATGCTGGTAACAACAAAAACAAGGTTAGCAGCTGAGAATATTATGATCCCACCTGCTTTTCTTTTTTTCAAAATGTGGAAGATGCACATGTTTTAAACATTTCTGGAAGAAATGTACGTTCTTCCCAATAATTGCCATGGGGGTGGGATAGTGTGCCCAGGACCAGAGAGGAGTTACAATCACTGAGCCTGCTGAATGACTGGAATTCTGGGTGTGTGTCATGAAAAAGTATATGCCTTCAATTTTAAAAAGTAACTTAAAAGCATTAAATGTGCATGCCCTATGACTGAGCAACCTCACAGCACTGCAGGGATGTGGTCACGACGGATGCCATTAAATACCCCCAAAGTGGCCGCTTCCCACCCATGAAGTCCACAGCAGGGCTGTTTGCAATTGTAGAAACCGAAAACAACTTATGTGTCCACCCATCACGGAATAATTTAAACAACAGATAATCAAACAACAGAACATCATGAGGCAGACAAAAATAAGGATAGACTTGGAAAGATACACACAATGTAGAATGCAAATTGCAGAATGATGTAAGGTGATTCCAGTGTTGTATTTTAAAACGCAAACAGAAACCATAAATCTCAATCCGTGTACACAGCTGTGGTCTAGCTGGGAGCACATCTTCCACGTGGGCAAAGAGAACACCTTCACGAGTGAGACTGAGCAGAAAAACGGGGGCTACTACTTTACACGTTTCTGTACTGCTTGAATAGTTTACAGCAAACGAGTCTTAGTTTAGCAAAAAAAAGAAACACAAATGGATAAAAGATTCAGTAAAAATATTTTTTAAATCATTTTTAGTAATGATTTTTTTAGTAAAAATCGTTTTTAAAAATAATATAGATATCATTTTTCTAAATTGACCTAGCTTTACACTCATATATAGAATAATGGTTGTAGAGAAATACAGTAAAAATGTTAATAACAGTTATCTATAGGTGGTAGCAATAACACTAACTCTTATTTCCTTCCTAAACTTCTTCTGTACTTCCTAATTTTCTATAGTAAACAGAACTATACTATCAGAACAAAAAGTCACACTTAAATGTTCACATTTAAAGAATAAGGCAAATATAAAAACAATGTTCATTATGTCTTGTTCACACCTCCCACATTTGTAATCTGTCTGTGTGCAGCAGACAGCCCAGCTCCTAGAGACTTACCGCCACGATCCTATCTCCCACAGCAAGGGACCCCTCCTTGGCAGCTGGGCTTCCGGGCACCACAGCAGCAGCATACACTCCATTCTCCAGGCTGATGCCGCTGTCTGTGAACCACAGGGTGGACCACAGGTGGTCCCTGGTTAATCCTTGCTCAGGTCTCATGGTCCTCTGGTTGTCCCACCTCATCTTTGGGAGATACTTTTACCAAGCTGGCAGACTATGACCTGTGCATCCCAGCACCCACCTGAGCCAGACCACCCAGGGGCTCAGTCAGTCATATCTGGTCTGGTGAATCACTCAGAGACAAGCAAGACCCAGGACCCAGGTGGTCACGTGTCAGGGAAGCACACAGGCTGCATTTAAGCAGCATCAACACCTCAACCCTGGCAATGAAGTACATCTGAAAACACACACATCCCTCAGCACAAGAAAGGGCCACCCTGCCACCTGAAGCACTCTGCCTACTTCTGCAGGCCGCTACCTTTCTGTCCACTCAGGTTGATGTGCAGTGGCGTGACCACCTTCCCGCCCAGGGACTTCCTCCGCCGCACGACCATGTTGATGGCCCCCTCCCCATTGAGGAGAGCCTTCATGGCCTGCTTCTTATCCTTGTTGATAAGGTCCACGTCGTTGATTCTCAGCAGCCAGTCATTGACCCTGAAGAGGGGCACAGCCAGGTCAGTGTCCATGCAGGTCTTGGGACCAGGCGGCAGCCCAACTGTTCCCAATGGAGAGTCAAATGCCAGAAAGCAGGTGGCCCACATAACAATCAGAAAGATTTCCCCTTCCAGGATGGTCAAATGACTAAACTCATATAGTGGAAGTACAATGCCTGGGTTCAAATCCTGGCTCTACCACTTACTAGCTGAGTGACCTAACCCCTCAGGTCCTCAGTGCCTTCAACTGTAAAATGGGGCAACACCTACCTCATAGGCCTTAACCACTATTTTATTATCACAGGTATTTCATGGAATAAGCATGCAATGCACGTTCTATGCTCTCACACATATTGCCTGAGCACTTTTCTGCCCAGAAATGTGAAAGACAGCACCTGGTGACTGAAGAAAGGTCAGGTTCAAAGGCAACTGCGAGTCAATATCCTTTAAGAACAATGTTAGCAGCTGAGCCTGCAGGCCTCAGATAGACTAAGTCCCTCAGACCCTGGGATGCATGCATTTAACTCCCACCAGGCTTTCCAGGTCCTTTCATTGGGCCACGGGGCCCAACCTTCCCTCCAGAACCTGGGCTTCCTCAACTCTTACCGTAAGCGGCCATCTGCAATGCTTCCTTTGTCCACCTTAGTGACAAATATGCCACAGTCCCCAGGCAAACAAGGCTCATTCACACCTTCTGCCATATCGAACCCCAGTGCCTTCAAATCAATGTCCTCCTGTCAAAACAAGAGCAGCACACTTTACAAAGCAGTGACAAGAAGCATTTGGCTCTTAAACCCCAAACCGTTCACTCTAATGTGGGGACTCTCCCTTCACCATGATGACAGGACACTTAGTCCTCAGATACAGCCTATGAGTAGCTATAGTCTTCGCCTCTCAGCCACTACAGATACACATCCCCACCAGCATCACACTTGGGGACTCTGCTCTTCCCTCTGAGATCCGTGGGCTGTGTCAGCCCCTGCCACGTGACACGGGAAACCAACCTGCTATAACCCAGCTTGAACAAGTGCAAGGAAAGGATGCATTTGCATCCTGGGAGGAAAAGCCAAACCTCCAAACTAGCAATTGTGACACTGGGGGACACTGCAAGAGGGCCCCCTCTTCCTCCACCATTCAAAGTCTTCACGTCAGGAGGAGAAGAAAAGACATGAAGAAAGCTTACAGTCTCCCTTTCAAACTCTACAACTTCTGTTTCCCACTCCATGGAATCCGTGTCGATGGCTGAGTCATGGGAGCTGTGGGCCATCAGCTGTCGGAACCGGGCCTCCTTCTCCAACTGAGATTCCATCTGCTCCCTGTGAAGAGAGGGAACCATGGCAATGGCCCTATGGGAAGTGAAACATGCCCCCCAAGTCTCAGCTTGAAAAGCAGGTGGACCACTCATGAAAGCTCAGTGGGGTTTTCACCTCACACTTCCCAATAAATCTGGAGCGTCAGGTCAAGACTTCTTGGGTATTGGTAGGTTTTTATACTGTTTTTTTTTTTAAAGACTCACATTTATCTAGAAATTCTCACATTTATCTAGAGGTTTAATGCAATTCCTATGAAAATGCTGACAAAACACTTCCATAGATAGAGAGAAGACTATTCTAAACTTTACAGGGAAAGGCAAAAAAAGGTAGAATAGCTACATCAGTTGTGAAAATGAAGAATTAAGTGGAGCCCTGGCTGGTGTAGCTCAGTGGATTGAGCGCGGGCCTATGAAGCAAAGGGTCACTGGTTTGATTCCCAGTCAGGGCACATCCTGGGTTGCAGGCCAGGTCTCCAGTAGGGAACACATGAAAGGCAACCACACATTAATGTTTCTCTCCCACTCTTTCTCCTTCCCTCCCCTCTCTCTAAAAGTAAATAAAATATTTAAAAAAAAATTAAGTGGAGCCCTGGCTGGTGTAGTTCAGTGGCTTGAGTGTGGGCCTGTGAACCAAACGATCGAGGTTCGATTCCCAGTCAGGGCACATGCCTCGGTTGCAGGCCAGTTCCTAGCAGGGGATGAACAAGAGGCAACCGTACATTGATATTTCTCTCCCTCTCTCCTTCCCTTCCCCCCCAAAGATAAATAAAATCTTAAAAAAAAATAAAACTAGACTTCCAGCCAAGATAGAGGCGTAGGTGGAAACACTGTGCCTCCTCGCACAACCAAGTTTAAAGACAACAAAGTTTTAGCAAGCAAAACACAGAAAATTGAACTATACGGAAGTCCGACAACAACGAACCGTTCAGCCAGACCGGTAAGAGGGTCGGAGCCAGCGGCTGGCAGAGCGGGGTTGGGCAGGAAAACTCCGCTGGACCGACCCAGGCACGGGTGGCTGTTGGCGGATCCCAGGCATGGGGCTGTAAGAGGCAGACCCAGTGAGGGCCCAAGGCAGCAAGTTGACCGTGGTCATACATTTGTGCACAGATAAACCAGGCAGAGGACCGAGCAGTGAGACAGACCACGCTGGCCCCAGTGGTGGGAAGCAGCAGAGGGGACCGCTATTGCCCCTCTCTGACCCCACCCCCACATACAGCATCACAACCCAGTGACTGAGTTGCCCTGCCCTGGTGAACACCTAGGGCTCTGCCCTTCATACTTAACAGGCGGGAAAACAGACCAAAACATTATGGCTCAAGAAGAACTCAAAGCCCCAGAGCCAATAACTCTAAGTGACCAAGAAATAGCCGATCTATGAGATGCACAGTTCAAATCACTGCTGATCAGGATGCCCACGGATCTGGTTGATTTTAGTCACAAATTAGAGAAACAAAGGAAGACTAAACTAATTGAAATGAAGGGAAATGCACAGGAAACCAATAGTGATGGAAAGGAAACTGGGACTCAAATCAAGGGACTAGACCAGAAGGAAAAAAGAAACACCCAAATAGAAAAGAATGAAGAAACAAGAATTCAAAAAAATGAGGAGAGGCTTAGGAACCTTCAGGACATCTTTAAACATTCCAATGTCAACATCCGAATTATAGGGGTACCAGAAGGAAAAGAGGAAGAGCGACAAGTGGAAAACTTATCTGAACAAATAATAAAGGAGAACTTCCCCAATTTGGCAAAGGAAGTAGACTTCCAGGAAATCCAGGAATCTCAGAGAGTCCCAAAGAAGTTGGACCCAAGAAGGAACACACCAAGGCACATCATAATTACGTTAGCCAAGATTAAAATGAAAGAGAGAATCCTAGAAGCAGCAAGAGATAAGGGGACAGTCACCTACAAAGGAGTTCCCATCAGACTGTCAGCGGATTTCTCAAAAGAGACCTTACAGGCAAGAAGGGGCTGGAAAGAAGTATTCCAAGTCATGAAAGACAAGCACCCACATCCAAGATTGCTCTATCCAGCAAAGGTTTCATTTAGAATGGAAGGGCAGATAAAGTGCTTCTCAGATAAGGTCAAGTTCAAGGAGTTCATCATCACCAAGCCCTTGTTATATGAAATGTTAAAGGGATTTATCTAAGAAAAAGAAGATCAAAAATATGAACAGTAAAAGGACAGCAAACTCACAATTATTAACAATCACACCTAAAACAAAAACAAAAGCAAACTAAGCAAACAACTAGAACAGGAACAGAAACATGGAAATGGAGAACACATGGAGGGTTAGCAATAGGGGAGTGGGAGGTAGAAAAGGTACAGAGAATAAGTAGCATAGCTGGTAGGTAGAAAATAGACAGGGGGAGGGCAAGAATAGCATGGGACATGTAGAAGCTAAAGAACTTACAAGTATGACACATGGACATGAACTATAGGGGGTGAATGTGGGTGGGAGGGGGTGTCCAGGGTGAAGGGAACTGGGACACCTGTAATAGCATAATCAACAAAATATATTAAATAAAAATTGATTTAAAAATATTAATAAGTTGGACTTGATCAAAATAAAACTTAAGCTCTTTGAAAGACCCAGTTAAGAAGATGCAAAAAGACACAGTAACTTTGTCCTATACCACAGTCACTTGCATATAATGCCCTTCTTCCTAAAACCTGGGCCCAGACCACCTTCCCAACTCATCAGCCCTGCCTATTGGGCTCCTGGCACACTTGTGACCTACTTTTGTTTCCTTCCCAAGAAAACATGCTCCCAGGTTCACACCTCTGGCTGGGCTGTGCTCTCACTGGCCAGCTCTAGAATGCTACCCAGCCTCCTGGGCAAAGCTCCAAAGCCTCCTCCTGGGGCCTAATACCCTCTGTGCAGCCTGGAGCTCTTTGTTCAAAGCTGACTGCACCCGCCTCATCTCTTTCCCACCATTGCTTCTGGTGTAGCAGCACAGACTGCATCACAGCACCCATAGGTTAGAGAACTCAGCAGGAAGGAGATGCAAACACAGATGTGCTGAATGAATCAAGGAAGCTGACTTTCTCAGCCTTGGCAACTCCAGCGCAATTAAAATGGAAACCTCCTCCCATGTTGAAGCCCCAGAGGGGCTAGGCCGGAACTTAATGTGATTCCATCACTTGCTAGACCCAAGGTGGGTCCCTGGAGAGACTGTGTCTTTGCCTGAAACCCTGAAGTTTTCTTTAGAGCACTCAGGCCCCAGAGGTTCTAGGTTTTTATTTAATAAACGAAGCTGCTTGTCTTATGTTAGATGTTACTGAATGAGAAGGGGAGCTGTACTCCCTTCTGAAAGGCACACCCTGAGTCAGCAAGGTTTGCGCACTCACACTCAAGGGCTTGTCACCTTCCTTCTCCACTCTACCAGCGTGGGAAGTCCCTGGAATGGACAGAGAACCACTGCTTCTCAACTAAAATCTGGCTCTAGTAGCAACTACTGGCCTCTGCCAATTTCTCTCTTAAACTTTGATCTTTGTGTTTTCAATCCACTACTTAGAGTCACCATATCTTAAGGGACACCCCTGGGGGCAGGGCTGTTCCTGAGCTGGGTTGTCTGACATCCCGAACAGTCTCTTCCAGACAGGCATCCAAACACAGCAGGACAGACTGCTGACTGGTGGTCACAATCACCTGCAAAACTCTGCACCACAATCTGTTGTTGCTTTGTTCTTTTATGCCCTCGCCTCTCTGATGGCTGCCTGTGGTCTGTCTCCTGTGTGCTATGAGCCTCACAGAGCAAGGACCTGGTGGGCCTGCTTAGCTGTTTCCCCTGGGCCTCCCTCAGGCCTGATGCAAACAGAGCAGGCACTGGGTTAATCCTTGCTGAGTTGATGAATGAGTGAGGAACGGAGGGAATGAATGAGCGGACAGTGCATGCCTACCTGTCCCCAGACAACCTGCCTGTGAGCAGGGCCCTTTCTTCCTATGTCTTTGTGCACGGTGCACAGCTCCATGTGCTCAAAGGACTGCTATCATTTTCTCTGTTCATCTACGAGTTTCTAATTAACTCTCCACGTGGAGGCAGCATCTGAAGCCTTTCTACAGATTGACAGAGTACGGGGGAAAGAGAAGGGACACATGGCCAGGCCCTGCCCTGAGAGGGGAGGTGGGCACTCCATTCCCAGGTGCAAGTGCGGCCCACGAAGGCGCCACCCCAGCATACTTGAGCTCCTTAAGCTCCCGGCTGACGTCGTTCTTCTGTTTGCGAGTGTCATCCAGGCTGCGCAGGGCCTCAGCCAGCTCTGTCACTGCCCTGTCCCGCTCCCGCCTCAAATTGTCGCAGAGTGTCCTGGCAGAAGAGGCAAAGGGCAAGGTCACCAAGAGAGGTCAGGGACGGAGGACTCACAGCCTGCAGTGAATACCCCAGGCTCCCACCTTGCCCCCAGATGCACAGGAATGTTTGCAGGTTTAGAAGTAGGCCATCAAGGCTAACCCCACTGAGGGACAAAGGTAATGCTGAGGACCCAGCAGAACAGACACCTCCCAGTTACCAGGCAATAAGCTCTGGGCTCCACACATCCAGTGCTCACCCCACTGCTTCACTGTCAATGTGCCTGGGGTCAAAAACTGCATCTTGCCCCAGCCCACCTGGCAGCCCTGTGCTCCAGCACTGGCCAAATGCCTCATAGCCACCCACCCACAGGCCTTTCCAGAGCTGCCTCCCAGCCCACAATCAGACTGAGACCCCCTGCCTCAGACAGGAATCATGACTCATGCATCTCCGCAGCCCTGAGCTCTATGCAGGTACAAAGGGCAGGCTTAACAACCCTCTGCTATAGGACATATGGCTTCTGGGACCTTGGGACCACCTCAGCCATTCAGAGAGGAGGTGGAGACAGAGACAGGGGACCTAGCAGCAAGAGAATTTGTGCCCTGCACCATCCCCAGAACTGCATCCTGCTACTGGATGGACCCTGAGAACTGTCCCTGCTTCTCCATGGGCCCATAGCCTCCCAACACTGAACCCTCATCTCCTGACCTGCCTGGGTGGACATTGCTCTCTCCTTAAAAAGGCCACAAGGGATCTTTCAGAATCTCTCATTGCCAAGCCCTTGCTCACTACCAACACCCCACCCTACCTCCAGCCTCTTCTGGCTCTACCTCAACCAAGGATCCAGTCTACATTCCCAGGCCTCCCTTTTAAGGCCCTAACAACCTGCGCTCGGGAGCACTGTCGGCTGCCTGTTCTGTGACTTCACACCCACATCCCTGCCCTGATCACACCACACCTTTGCTCATGAGGTGTGCTCAGGTTACAATGCCCTTCCCCCGCTCCATCTGAAAAAATCCCACTCATGCTTAAGTTCTGGCTCAAATACCATGCTTTCTGGGGAGACCCACTCCCCCCAGCCCAGTGCCCTCCATGCCCCCACCACAGCTCTGCCTGTGGCCCTGGAATTCCCTGTCCACACATCTTCCCTCCCCACTGCCCTGTCTGACAAAGTGGCCCAGAGCCCCACAGTGCCAGCCCCTCGCAGGCATCACAGCCACCTGGGATCCTTGGAGGCCGTCTCCCAGGGTCTCCTTGCTCAAACGACCTGAGATCCTGGCACGTAGTAGGTACACAATGAATGCTAACAGAGAGAATTCAGTTCTGATTGCCAGAACTTAGAATAAAAATAAAATCTGGTCTTGTGCCACTTCTTAGTGCACGCTCGGACGCCTAGGTTGAAGTGGAATAGGATGGAAAGACACAGTGGAAAATACCTGTGCTCTGAGGCAAGGTGGGGGCACCATGTAGGGTGAGAGGGAAGAACCTAGTTACTCTCATGGACATGAGAGTAAATGATTGTCCTTACCTGGACATGTGGCAAATGATTGTGGCCCTCCCCACAGACCCCATGTGTCCTGGGGAGACCTGAGGCCAGGCCAGCCCAGCCCGGGGGCCCCGTACCGGATGCTATCCCGTTCTGCCACGATCTTGTCGCGCTCCTGGAAGGCCCAGTCCCTCCGGCACTTGGCCACATCTGCCTCCTGGAGGGCTTCCTTCAGCTCCTGGCACAGAGCTTTGCACTGCTTTCGAAGAATTTCAGCCTCCTTGTTGGCTCTCCCGGCATCCATAGTTACCGTGTCTTTAATCTGGTAGGAATGAGGGGCAACCAGAGGAGGAGGTTACTGTGCCTTCCGGCTCAGAAGTACCATCTGACCTCTTGGGAGCTAGATGGAGGGAAACAGCAGGATCCCAGCCACAGCCATCCCAACACCACCCTGCTATGCCTGTACCATCCCCACACACACACCAGTGACCACAAGCCCCACAGCCACACTCAGACCCCCAGTGACATTAAGGTCCAGTCCGAATTCTCACAACCACACACAGAGCCTGGACTAGAACCCTAGTGCCTCCTCAGCCGAGGTCGCACTGGCCCAGGTGGAGTGCCTCCCCTGGAGGGCTTGTTCCAGCTGCCACTTGTGTGGTTTGTACCTACGAAGAGCCAGCACATCTCTCTAAAGTGCACCCACAACACAACATAATGACACAAGGCTTGAGTGCAGTGAAGGGTCCAGACAGTGGTCGTGGTAAGTCACAACTCTGCTTCTGCAGCACCGGTTTCCATATTCCGGTTTTCAGACTCCAGCATACAGAGTTATTTTTAAATAACTCCGTATCTGAAAAAAAACAGCAGCATTTTTGCTGGTGAAGTCCCCTGTATCTCAGCTCATTTTCAAAGCTGAAATCTGAAGCATCTGCTTCTTGACACTTCCTCAAAGCACTGCACGCTCCATTAAAATTTCAAATCAAACTCTTGGAAGTGCTCATAGAGAAAGCTCCCTCTGTGTCACTAATTCCTCTAGAAAACACGGGGGAAATGACAAGCAAGTGTCTATTGCAAAAGTAACTCCTATGCTACCTCAAAGGCTTTCTGAAGAAGCAAAACACAAACAAGACAGGAGAGGAACAGATACAACTGCCTCTGCGTTGGGAATCTCCACCTCTGAGCAATAAAAATAAGGAAGACAAACACACCAAGAATGCTTCCACTGACTCCACAGCAGACAGCAATGCAGCCTCCGCTAAAACACGTTCAAAAAGATCTCAGAAGTTCAGCCAAGAGACAAGTATGAGGGGGACAGGAAAATGTATGCAGTCAGCTTATCACTCCCCCCTTGTCTCTCACGTACAGGATCAGAAAGAACTGGGGAAAAATCTGCACAGAAAATAACACCGAACCTTGAGACAGTGGCATGCTCTGCTGAGAACTCAGTTCCCAGGGGCAAGTCAATTTTTTTCCCCATTTTTATGCAATGATGGGTGTTTTGGTATTTTTTAGAAACAATTATTTTTACTAATTCTATCAAGAACTTAACAGTGCTAATAGGTTTAACAATAATATTTTCTTAAGTTTATATTTCACTTGGTGTTCTATAGTAATATAGTTTTCTACTTGAACTATGTTACATGTGGTTTCAATGAAAGGTCTTTCCTTCTGGCCCTGGGTAATCATCTCAAGCTGAAGGCCAGAGGTGGCAACAAAGAGGGACCAACGCCAGGCAACCAGGCAGAGCCCCCCCTCTCCCCATCTCCCCTTCTTTCCACTGGGCTCCCATCACTGTTAGTCTCCAAAATGAGAACACCCCCAAAACACCACTCCCTTCTGAGAAACCCTGGAAGTATATAATGCTTAGCTTCATCAAGAGGGCAGAGGAGGAATGCAGCATCCTAATTTAAAAGGGCAGGAGAACTGGGGAGCTAAGGTCCCTTTGTCCAGGCCCCTGATTATACCAACGAGGAACCTCAGGGCCCGGAAGTGACTGCCCCTAAGGACCCGCCTCAGGGAGCTGAGCCCAGAACCCAGGCCTCCAGGGCTCTTGCTCCTGTGCTGCTTCTTCCACACCATGCAGATCTGTCTGCAAAAGCACCACCCATGATCTCCTTCTGCCACCCTGGGTGACCTCCGGGCCACGGGCTAAGGAAGAGATGGGCTGGTTTTCACAAGACACTCACCCTGCATGGGCATGAAGCCAGAGGAAAGGCCTGCGGACTGCACCTCAGCCCCCAGCAGGGGAAGAGCCCACACCAGGGGGTCTGTCAGGCCATGAGGAGATTAAAGCCCTCCCGTCCATACCTCAGAGCCAAAAGGTGCCAGGCCACCAACCTATTCTGGGTGAATATGAGAGTGGTCTTAGGAAAGAAGCCAGACAAAGTAGAGAAGGAGCAGAGGGTTTCAGTTCTGGAAGCTGTTGTGGGGGCGGGGGGGGGGGAAGGATGCTCCGCTCTCCTGCCTGCGGACTCAGGTCAGCGCCTGGAAAAGAGTCCTGCCTCAGCTGATGGGCAGACCTGATGCAGAGCCAATGCCCCCTGCGAAGGCCGGGAACCAGGCTCCAGGCTGAAGGGCACGCGTGAATGCGGGCAGTGGGGTGACAGGCTGCCACCAGCTGCTGAAACCTCAGGGAGTCAGGGGTTCTGCGTCTTTCTTGGTGCTCCCCACCACCTACAGAGGGCACAGTTCACCTCATAACCCCAAAACCCCTCCACGTGGGCTGTGGTCCTGTCCCAAGCTCACCTCTTACGTGCCTGACACATCGTCCTCGACTTCTTGGTTTAGAGACTGACTCAATCATTTTCAAAGTTTTACTCTATCATTTTGTTTTCCTTGTTGGATATAACATTCTCCCAACCATTAAAAGCTCTCAGATGTCAGTGTGTGGAAATGAGTTGGTAGCTTTTTTAGGACAATTACCAAGTCCTAATACACTGTATTTGCTTATTAAAAATTGCTTCTCATGATCTCTTACAAATTTCATCAAAGTAAATTCTCCTTTTCACAATGGCTTTCACCTTGATGGTCTGGAAGTCTCGCTCCCTTGATATGAAATTGCCATTAGTTGGTCCATTTTTGCCTACAAAAACAATTTCATAGGGTTCCTCACAAAGTAGCTAATAGTCATCTTAATAATAAAAACTCAAGTTATGCCTACTTGGAGTGGGCACAGTTCTAAGTGTGTTTTCAATATTAAATCATGTGCCTGACATAACCACCCACGAGGCAGATGCTATCTATTATCATTTCCATCTTGTAGATGAGGAAACTGAATCCAGAAAAATAAGAGGTCACATGACTGAGAAGGGCTGCTCTCCCAGCCTGTTTTCCCTGCATCCATGGCCCCTAGCACTACCTGGGCATGAGGTGATGTCACTGTCCAAGAAAGCCACCCAGAGCCGGGCCACCCCTGGGGCATCGGCCCTGCCTGGTGTTCGGTCCAGGAGGCTCCAGCTCCAGCAGCCCAGGGCCTGCCATCCCCTGCCAATTTGCCCAGCCTCTAACACCTTGGTTTTCAGTTGTCACAGATCATTTTTAAAAGCTGCATGACAAGTGACCTGCATAGAAAAGTAACATTTCAACGGGAAAAAAGTCTGCTATGATCAAGTCCAGCAGTTCCAAACAGAGCCACAACACTGACCAACAGGATGGGGAGGAAACCTCAAATCAGGGAGTGAGTGGGACACATCTGCACTTGGGGGTGAGGGCTGTCCCTGAAGAGGCCCAGAGACCAGCAGGAAGGTTCAAGAATCCACACTGAGCCCTCAGGGGCAAGCTAACTCTAATGCTAATGAACCTCAGGCCCCTGACCCTGGAGGCGTGTCCCCTAGGAAGCAAGATGGCAGAAGGGCCTCAGGCACAGCCTACTATACTATCTTCCCAGTAGGAGCCAGGCTGCCCCTTTTAAAAAGCAGATTCATCAGATGCTGGGAAAGAGCCCTAAGGGTATTCTCCTGACTCACAAAGCCAAAGGTATCTATGGCTTTGGGAAGTTGGCCTTGGGATCAAGCTTCTTAACAAGCAAGTCCCTGAGATACCACTGACCTTCAGCACCAGACTGATCAACACTTACTTCACAATGGGTTTGAATGTGAGTGTCTGTACCTGGAGCACATGAGTATCTGGGCATGTGACCTGACTTTCTTCCTACACTGTAAGCTGTGGAGGCCTGAGACCACAGCCAGAGCTCGCCTTACAACCCTGTAGCCCAGATTAGAGCTAGGCACTAAGCGTAGTGAACTCAGCAATACCCTGGGCAGTGTCCAGTAACCCAGCCCTGCACTCTGACACAGGGGCATGCTGCTGGTCAGACACGGTGTGCACCACAGCCCTTCCTTCCTCGCTGCTCTCCCAGGGTCTGGGGGGCCAGCTGCCCAACCACCTACCTGTCGCAGTGCCTCCATCTCCTCGCTGGCCGCCTTCTTCTCTGACGTGCTGCTTTTGAGCTTGGACTCGGCCAGCTCCACCTCGGTCTGCAGTTTGTCCAGCTCCGAGATGACCTGGTCACGCTCGCTCATGATGAGCTTGTACTCGCTGTACACTGCGTCCCGCTCCTCCTTATACTTCTCGGACTCCTTGGCGGTTTTCGCCTGTGTGGTCCTCAGCTCTGTCAGCTCCGACTGCAGCAGCTCCATCTCCCACTGCAGGTCCTTATTCTGGGCCGTGGCCTTGTTTAGCTCGTGGTGGATCGCCTCGAACCTGGGGGAGAAAGGCAGCCAGGACGTGGGGGGTGGCGGGGACTGGCCCGGTCAGCTCTGTTGTGCTGGACAGTCAAGCATGAAGTTTCAAGGGAGCTCATTCTCTACACCCCTGAGAGAGAAAAGTCACGGAGTGCCAGTGCCCCGGACCTGGAATTTTCCTCAGCATTTGCAAAACCAAAAGCTGAACCGAGGACTTCATGCCCCCTGCTCTACTAGAAACAACAGCGAATTTCTCCCACAGTCAAGCTACATTTTTTTTTAATGCTAGAATCACAGTATATGAGAGATAAAAGGGAACTTAATGGTCATTTAATCCACCCACCTCATTTCTCAAATACAGAAAAGGAGATGCAGTTGGCTGGCCCAGAGTCACCAGGCTGGTGTCAGAGCACAGCTGGTCCTTCCAGGCCAGGAGGTAACTTACACAAAGGCAGCCCTGCAGGTTAAGAGCCTAAGGCTCTAGCGTCCAGAATAACACTGCAGAAAGTGTGTTCTGTAGACGCCAATCTCCTGCACGGCTCTCCATTTAAAAGAAAAAAAAAGTATGTCCTTTGATGACTTACGTTTGGGAAACACTGCATTCTGCATCCCTGTCTAAGACAGTCCAGTGCTCAGCACCAGACTGAATGCTCCGAGGAGCCCCACACTGCAGGTACCCGTCCTTGGGCAACCTGGCAATTCCCAGACCTTTTCACAGCCAGAGACCGCTTCTCACGTGAGGCCAATGAGTGCTCCCAGGAACCAGTATTCTGCAGGAGTGTACTTTACAAAACATTGCCTGAGGCCAGGGCTCACATCCCTACAGATCATATACCTTACTAAAAAATCAAAGTTTGGGAAAAACAATACCTAAGACGATTAACTTTGCTATTTGCCAGGTAGGTGACTGACAGAGAAGAGAGGCCTGTGGGAGCCCTAGGCACTGGGGTGGTTGGAACATGCTGAGGCTGTTCAGACAAGAATGACAACTCCCAGGACACAGTGAGTGCCAAAAAAAAAAAAAAAGTGTTTCCTGGAAATAAGCATTTTTCGAAAAAGCACAACTGCCGAGCTGCTTTACCCTCTGGTAGTGTCTGGGAGCCTTGTGGATAACCACAAGCCCACAGAGGAGAGCGGCCCAAGCAAAGGAGGTCCCTCTGGCCCCCAGTGGCCCCAGCCCCCACCTCCTCAGGGAGAGGGCGCACTGGTGCTGCAGCTGGATGGCTGTGTCCCTCTGCTGGGTGAGCATTTCGGTCTGCTTCAGCAGGCGCTGGTTCTCCTCCTCCAGCTGCTCCAGCCGGCTCAGGTCCGAGTTGTGGATGGCGACTTTCTCGCTGTACCTCTTCCGCAGGGCATCGTAGTCCTTCTTAACCACCTCCAGCTTGTCCATGGCCGTGTCATACAGCTTGTTGAGAATTTCTGAAGACCCGTTGTGCTTCAATACCTGGGGACCAGACAGCCACACTTACCAACAGCCTGGCAGCAGGAAGGACAGATTGACCACTCTTACCTCCCTGGGTCTAAGGGTAGAACTGCTGACCAGGGAGGAGAGGTCACAGCCTCTGGCCTTTGGAGGCCAAGCTCTGATTCCACTGGCCCTGCAGTCACAGTGGGTGATTCATTTGTTCATAAACATTTCTTAAGTAATGTGCAAAAGGGTGTTACCCTAGCAGGCCCAAGACTTCTATCCTTAGAAAGCCCTGCTTACAAGTTCACTCTTGGCTGGTGCCTGGAAACGGAGTGGCAAATAGTTCCCTACACGGATATAAAACTTGCCCCAAGTAATAAGAGGGGTTCCCGATGCCTGGATCAGACAAACAGTGTGGGTTAGGCTGAGTACAGCTTTCTCCCGGCAGTCTGAAATCTCAGTACATGGTAGGCAGCAGTGGCTGTGGGGCCAGCCCCCGGGAAAATCCCTGGGCTTCCCTGAAAACAACACAACAACACCTCGCATGTGCTGTCATGCTTCAGTACTGGGGGAACTGAGCATGCCCTGTGTCGCTCCACAGGGAGGCCGGTCGGAACCTGCACCTGGTTTCCTCTGGACTTCGCCCCACACACCTCTTCCCGTTGCCAATTTTGCTTTGTGTCCTTTCGCTGAAATAAAATTTAGCCATGAGTGTAATTATTATACATTGAATCTTGTGAGTCTCCCCAACAATCACCAAACCTGGGGTTTGGACCCCCAGGTGTTGAGGACCCCCAACACAAGTGCCTGACCTGTTCTAGTGATGTTCTAGATGCTGGCGGTGCCACCTAACTGAACACATACAGGCCGTGGCTTGTGGGAGGATATGAACACCCAGGTGGACAGGCAGGTAGATAGAAAGGAAGAAAGACCAAATAAATAACTTCTAGGCAGAATAAGAGCCCTCAAGAAAATAGAAAATAAAGTAGGATAATAAGCTGAAGAGACTTCTGAGCAGCAGAGCAAAAGGTATGAGAAGGTCTGAGGAGGTCTCTCTAAGAAGGTGACTTCTAAGCTTAAATGCAAATGAAGAGCAGTAGCAAGAGCACACCTGGCAGAGGGGTAAGCAAGCACAAAGGCCCTGAGGCAGGAATGACCAGTGTGTTCTGGACACAAGGAGAAGGGGAGGACAGAGTGACTGGAGCCCTGTAAACAAAGAACAGTGGGTTCAAGAGGAGACTGGAATAGTGGGCTCCATCTCAAGGCTCACAGCCAAAGCCAAAACTGTGTCCTAAGGGAGATGGGCAACCTGGGAGATTTTTAAGCAAGAGAGCAAATTACAGGTTACTTGGGGCATTGTTCCAGAGAATAAAAAACAAGAAGATGACTCGAGAGGTTGTCAGGAGCCTGTTGACTTCTGCTAAGCACCTCGGGGTGGGGGCGGGGGGATGGGGGGAGTCTGTGCCCTTGGCAGGTCACACTCCACTTCTTTGGCTTTCAGTTTCCTTATTCCTCAGGTGATAGGACTGAACCAGAAAAGCTTGCTTACTGGTGCAAGCTCCAACAGTCCAGAAATCGCCTGGCTTATTCAGCATGGACCCTGAGTTATCAGATCTCTGCAGCGCAGAGAACCAGAACCTGGAGGTACTAAATACAGGCATGGGCCTTGTTATACTGCACCTCACTTCACTGTGCTTCACAGGTGTTGTTTCTTACAAACTGAAGGTGAGACTCCCAACCAGTGAGGGGATTGCGGCTCATTGTACTGGGATGGCTTGGAACAGACCCTGCAAAATCTCTGAGGTCTTCCTGTGCTCTGTTACAACTACAATGAGCGTGAAATGCCCTGGGACAGCTAATTTAGCAATAAAATCAGAGACAAAGAAAAGGGGTTTTTTCTTCTAAGACATAAGCATTAGCTCCTAGGACTGCAGACTAATGAAGAGGAAGGGAATCTCAAAAAACAGCTCACTCAGGGCTCTGTTTTTTGCCTTTTTTTTTTAGAGCAAAACTCTTTCCTTTAAAGAAACTCTTATAAAGACAGCAAAATACAAAACTCCTACAGTACATCTGTTCCTTACGCAGTTAAAAATCTTCACTGTTTTGTAAAAATGCTTCACGTTGCAGACAGGACTGTACACTGAGAAAAAGAAAATTTAAAAAAAACTGTGCCCCACTCTATCATTTAAAGTCTTTAAAAACAACAGCAAGGACACCCCTGACCAGTGTGGCTCAGCTGGTTGGCGTCTTCCCGCAAAGTGAAAGGTCTCCAGTTCTACTCCTGGTCAGGGTTCAGTCCCTCCCTGGTCAGGGGGCCTGCGAGAGGCAACCTATCCATGCTTCTCTCTCACAATGAGGTTTCTCTCCCTCTTTCTCCCTTCCTTCCCCTCTCTCTAAAAAAATAAGTATTTTTCAAAAATTAAAAAACAAAACAACAAACCGAGTATCTTCCAAACAAACACACAGAAAAGCATAGCAAATAAAGTAATAACATTTTAAGTACTCACCACTTAGCTCTAATCTTAACATCTTGTCACATGTGTCAAATTGTTTTTCAAAAAAATACAGTATTACTGGCATTGCTAGAGCCCCCAGTGCACCCTTCTCATCCCAAACCCCCCTCTTCCCCTCCAGAATTAATCGCTCCCCGGAATTTGCTGTCAACCGTCTCCACGCACAGAAGTTTCTTTACACTACTAATGTATTCAGACGTTTCTAGTGGTGCCATACGCCGTGTGCTTCTTCCTACTTTGTGCTGCTTTTGAGGTCTGGTCAAGTGATGCAGGCAGTAATTCCCTGCATGAACATATCACACATCCTCCTTTTTCTAACTGATGAACATTTACATTGTCCCCTCTCTTTTCTTGGCTGTTATAAATGATACTGCTGTGAACACTGGTGTATACGTCTCCTCTCCCACACCTGTGAGACTTCACTCTAGAAGCAGAGTGGCCAGGTGTCAGGATATGGACGTGTTCATACTTTCTGGACAGTATCAATTGCTCTACCAATGCATGATCTGCCAGCTGTGGGCAAGCTCTGGGAGTGACTATCCTCAACACATCCTCACCAAAATTTCATAGAGCCACATTTAGTTATGACAAAATACAAACAAACTATCCTAACCATTTTTAACATTTTTTTCTATTTATTGATTTTAGACATAGAGAAGAAGAGAGAGGAAGGCAGAAGCAGAGAGAGAGAGAGAGAATGAGCGAGAGAGAGAAAGAGAGAGATTGACTGAGTTGTTCCACTTACTTATGCATTTGCTGATTGATTTTGTATGTGCCCTGACTGGAGATCAAACCTACAATTTTGACTATGGAGATAACATTCCAGCCAATTGAGCTACCGGACCAAAGCCTAACATTTTTAAGTGTCCATTTCAGTAGTGTTATATACGCCCACATCATTGTGCAACCAGTCTCCAGAACTTTTTCATCTTGCAAAACTGAAACTCTGTCTCCATTGAAAAACAACTCCCCATTCCATCCTCCCCTCGGTCCCTGGAAACCGCCATTCTACTTTCTGTTTCTATGGATCTGGCTACTCCAGGTACCACATAGGGATTAAATCATATACTAATTAATCTTTCTGTGACTGACTTACTCATTTAGCATAATGTCTTCAAGGTTCATCCATGTTGAAGTATGTGACCATTTCTTTCCTTTTTAAAGATAAATCACATTCCATTTCATGTATGTACCGCATTTTGTTTACCCATTCATTCAATGAAGGATCTTGGGTTTTTTCCACTTCTTGGTTAGTGTGAAAGAGTCAAATATTTTAAAGTACTGCCAATCTCATGGACAAAAAAGTGAGATTTTTTTTTTAACTTGCTTTCTGATTACTAAAAAGAGCAGCTCTCCTCATGTTTATTGACTATACATACTTTCTCTACTTCTCTCTCTTCCTTTCTTTATGTAGAGTTTATTTTTAAATTCCAGGTACTCATCCTTTCCTAGTTATATTACAAATATCTTTCCCCATTATGTGGCTTTTCAATTTACCCGCAGTGTCTTTGCTACACTAAGCTTTCACATTTTAAACCTATCAATATTTCCTTTATGTTTTGCGCTTTGGTAGTTTTATTTCAAAAGTTCCTTCCTTCCTGCTTTGAGATTATGAAAATATTCTGTTATATTTTTCTAAAAAGTATCAGTTTACTTTATATATGTAAATCTTTCAACAACCTGGAATACATTTTTGTGTATGGTATGAGGTGGAAATAATACATTATTCTTTTCAATAAATCACCTGACAAATGAGAACTGGGACCCTGAGTGCAGGACAAAGTAAGGACACCTAAGTTCGTCTAAATGCAGGCAGTGATGTCTGGAGGACACCAGGACATACCTGACAGTGTCCACCACTGCAAGACGGGAAGGGTGTCCCACAAGGACGTGCCCATGCATGTCTGGGACACACAGAGCCAAAGGAGAGCTCTGACTTCTGGGTCAATCAGTACCTTCTACTCACATCTGGAAAAGGTCCCACTTCTAGAAAAGACTGCCCTGACTTGTGGGCAGTGCCTCCAACATTTTGATAAAAACTGCTTCAAATTTTTCACTTTCTAAACATCCCATAAGCCAGGTGAGAAGCCCAGTGTCTCCAAAGGAGTTCAGTGGTTTGCCGCAGAGCAAAGGCACCGCCGCCATTCCTGGAGTTCCCCACTAGGTGGCAGCCCTGGGACTAGTCAAAAGTTCTTCAGCGCAAGCTTCTTTAAAAAACAAACTAATTTTAAAGGCGGCCTTGAAATGACACTGAGACTCTGTTTGGGGTGTTGGCCCAGCAGAGCCTACCCCCACCTCCATGGCAGAATCTGGATTCTACACCATGGCCTGCCCTTCCTTCGTGGGGAAATAGTCCCCCAAGTGCCCTAACCACCAGGAGCCTGGATCAGCGCCTGTCAATCCAGGTACAATCCAGGGCAGATGGGTCACAAGTTCCCAATGAGATGGGGTTGGTCAGGAAAAGTCCCAGAGCAGCCCAGGGATCCTTCCTGACGCACAACCCACCTGTGTGAACACAGTGAA